AGTGCATCGCTACTAGTAACAAGTGCCTTACTAGTAGTTACAAGAAGATAGTAGAAACAAGTGCATCGCTACTAGTAACAAGTGCCTTACTAGTAATATTGTGTATTATATATATATATATCTATATTGTAATTAGTGATTTCGTGAGTATTGGGGGATGTTTGGCAGGAGAGGAGTTTGCTTAAAATAATCTACTTTGTAATGTGAACATAATACAGTAGTTGATATGCCATGGAACTAGTCAGGCCGCTTTTTCCAGAGGGTCCACGTCACAAACCGATTGGAGCGACACGGTTACCACTGTTGCCCTCACACAAAGATCCTTGATTGCTGGCGGGTGGCGCTTCTTGCCCTGGTTGAGTTCAATCAAGATGGCTTAAAAGGAAGCCACCCATGATGCCATTGGAAAAGAAAAGGAAGAAAGAGAACAGAGCCCTCAATTTGGTGATCATTTGGTGCCCTACATTGACTTACGCAACATCCTCCTCCACTCCAAATTGGGCGTGCACCAGCTGTCAGGCACACACATAACGTAGGCTCATTTTGGGCCGGGCCGTGACCCTCCAGCCGTGTGATGCGAGTCGTGGGTGGAGACACCCAGGATATGACCCTCCATTTCCTGAGTGGCTGTACTCAGTTCATCTGCAACTGGAGAGACTGAGGGAGCTGGGACCAGATGCAGCTTGGCCTTGGATTGGCTGATTCAAAAGGATTCAAATCATGCCTTCGGTGGGGCGCAGCTGTACTTGTGTTGATACAGTATTTCGGAAAGGGGCCCAAGATGAATTGATGCAGACTTGGAGGCTCTATCAAGAATTTGGTGACCATGAGTTTGTCAGACCGTTTTCGGCCAGGGCTAGGCGGCCAGGTCATAGAATTGATAAAGTAACTATATTGTATAATTAGCTGTATAATTGTTTCAGTTTCTTCTCCTTGAAGAAGCACCCGGCTGAGCAGTCTAGAAGATCTCGAATTTGCCCATGGTCCATGTTCGTTTTGCCCAACTCGCAAGAAACTTGGATCTTGGCGCGTCAACATCCCCCAATAAACAACCTTACTTTGCTCGCTGTAGGTGGACCTCGACACCCTCACCAGAATGCTTATGGCTTATGCATTGTACCACGAAGATGTTTCACTTCTTTTGGGGAGAAGGGTCAAAGTGAAGCCGTGCATCTCCCTGCCGTGCAGCTTAGGCCACCAAAGGACCCAGCCTGTCCGAGCTCCTGGAGATCCCCGATTACCGTGCCTCGGCGCGCCTCTCGGGGAAGATCCACGGTTTGAGCTGCACAGCCACCTCCAAACCTCCAAGAAATCCATCACATTCGAAACAACAGATGGTTTGCTAATTGCTCTAAGCGACACCTTGTTTTGTTGCGCGGGATGCTCAGTGCAGAAGAGCAGTTTCATGAGCAAGCAAAGCAGCGAGACCTTTTAATTGCTTCGGCTGATTTTTCGAGCAAATGTCCGTGGTGAGGAGTGGGCTGAAGACAACGACTACGACATGAAGGTTGGAGAGCGGAGTGAGGAGTATTTTGATTATAAGTGGGGAGAAGAGCTCGATGATGAAGGTGTCTCGGAATAATATTTGGATTCCCAGGTCCTAGGGATTAAGGGTGTTCATCCATCACCACATGATGCCACCCCGCAAGGATCTCTACCTACTTTGCCTGTTGTGCCGCACCCTTTGCTTCCCCAATGTTGATCCCTCACAGGAGTGAGTCCAAGATGGTTGCCAAATTGAAGTGGGCCAGTTGAGGAGTGTGTGGTGAACAAGTGGATTCTTGTCATGGTTGGGAAGGAAACTCCAAGATGAAATGAGAGGTGTCCCCCAGTACTTTGAGGTGAGGGGCGCATCCTAGACGACTTTGACGATGAAGCATATGAAGATGAGGATGACTTCAGCGAAGAAGCCACCTTGCTTGTGGTCAGGACATGGGGGTGGAAACTCAGAGGTACAACTGCCGGTGGGAGAGGATTGGACTCAAGATTGTTCAAGATGCTGAGCGTTTCTTTGCTGTTGTTTGCCATAGTTTGTTGGGGTCGGATGAATTGTTTTGGGAATGCACCGAACACCTCCGATGTTCTTCCGGTCCGGTCCTCCACACGCTTCTCAGAGGCCCTTGTTGCAGTTCAAAAGGATGAGTGAAGCTGATGGTAGGCGAGGCCGAGGTACTCGATGACTCCCCCAGTGTCAATTATATACATGAAGGCATTGTTTAGAATTATACACATGCTGTTAATTATATACTGTTAATTTTGTACATGTTGGATCATGATGGATCTCTTCGGAACGCTGAGGCCTTGGAACGTCGCTGGGAAGACTTTGATGATGATGACGATTTTGAGGATAGTGAAGTCACCAAGGACCGCGAGCCTGGTTCCAAAGCCATCAAAACGACAAGTGGTTTCCATTATGGACATGCCAACAGCAGGTGTATATAGATATATATATATATATACGGTTTCCAATACATTTTAAGTGGGGATCTACTTTTCTATCTATTTGGAGGCCACAATATAGCACCTCATAACTTCATCTTGAGACGGGACAGTGGTCCCTTTTCTAGCCCCAGCTTTGAGGGCGTCAATTGATATTTGTTGGGAGAGGGCTCAGCCCGCACACAGAGAAAGAGAGAGAGGAAGAGAGCCCTGCCGGGAGGATGCCTAACCCCTTTAGTAGCTTCCTTGCTCCTAGTAGCGATGCCAGGAGCCCTTTAGTATTATCTATAATTTATAATTATTATTTATAAATAATTAAATATTAAATTAAGAAATATTTTAAGAAATGTATATATTTAAAAAAATCAATAAAAACAATATTATATTATGATATATACAAATTTAGATATATTATAAAATATTTAATTAAATTAAATTTTAAAAAAAAAATATATATGAAATGTTTTATATATATTATTTTTTATTTTAAATATATATATAAAATAAAATTATATATATTGATATTATATTTTATAAATAATTGTTGGTATTTTTTATATTTAATTATAATTTAGCAAAAAAAACGATTTTTATTAATTTCGTATATAATTTTTATAAATTGATGATAAGAAAGAATTATTGTTTTTTTTGAATAATATATTAATGGGACGAATATAATGTTAACTTAATTTATTTTTTTTAATTGTGGATAGACGGTATTATATCGTCGCGTCGCGGTATGATTTTCGATTTTTTTTGGTCGAAGGAATTTTGAGTTTTATGCGGCGACGACTCTCGTTATTTATTTGATATCGAAGAAAGGACGTATTGCGGCTTTCGATTTCTTTTCGTGAATTTAAGTATTTCGAGATTGATAACGGAGTCTAAGACGATTTTTTCGGAATTTAATTAGGAAAAAATAAAATTTGAAGACGTTTATAGGTTAATTTTGGTCGGGAATTGATTTATTTTAAAGATTACGTTTAATAAGGCAGTTGTAAATGAATGGTTAATAACGAAGATAACGAAATAGATAAGAAGAGGAATAATTAATTGATGTCTTATATTTCCTTTTCTTTTACGTATAGCAAGTGGAGTTAGTCTAGGAATTACTTCTTTTGGTTTTAAGAATTATTATGGCTTGGTAAAGGCCGTACTATCGGCCGAGGGACTAACGTAAAGTAGCTATCGTAGCTATAGAAGACGATTGGAATTGTATGCGCTGTAGTGTCGTTGACGTTTAATAGACGCTGAGATTGAAGGTGTTTTTTTTTGTTATTAGCCTCTTTAAGGACATTGTTGTGGGATATTCTAGAACAAATAGATTTGAAAGAAATAATAAGTGACACAAAGCCGTTTGTAGCTTTATTTACTATGATGGATTAGTTCTTTTAATGTGAAGAATAAATCGAGGTTTTATATCGTTGTGAAGAGTGCTTTTAAAGAAGGGAAAAGAAATGCACGTTTGTTTTATTCGTTATCGCATTGATCCTTAGTTTAGAGGAGGTAGTAATCGACGATGATGGTGGCTTTCGAAAACGATATATTGGACGTCGAGGAAATATGCTTTTTTCTTCAGTTTTTCTTTTGCCTTTCGAACTGCCCTTTCTTTCACTTTTGCCGCTTTTGCTATGATCGAAGTTAGGACTAATGGTTACGACGGGATAGAAGCCACGAGCCAAGGTAAGTTCCTTTATCTTTTTCCTTGACTTTAAATAGGAAATGTACGCCGCATCCATGTTTTCGTATACTTCTTTAAGCTCTTCAGAGATTTCTTCTTTATTTTTAGCACCTTTATAATAGATTTCATGCTAATCGTCTTTTTTTTTCTTTCGTAATAGAATTCCTCATCAAAGTCCTTCTCATAAAAGAACTCGTTTTTGGATGATTTGGTAACACATCCAAATATTTTTGGTGTTTGGTTTGTAATCTCCACTAAATATTCGAAGTAAAGCTCGTTGGACCTCTTTATAGTCAAGCTCGCCTTAGTATAATGCTTTCACTTGCACGTGTATTTATTTTAGAGTTCTACTTCGGGTCAACACGTATTATACAGCAAGGAGTGGAGGGATGTCGATCTTGACCTCTCGAAGTTTCTTTAAATTAGTACGATGGCGAAGTGAAAGAAAGTGCAATTCGAAGGGCAAAGGAAAGATTGAAGGAAAAAGTATGTTTCTTCGACGTCCAATGTATTGTTTTCGAAAGCTACCATCATCGTCGACACCATCATCGTCGATTACTACTTCCTTTGAGCTGAGGTCAACCCTGACCGGTTCAAATTCTTCGCATGGACCGAGGTTCAAACGACATCTAATGCAAGCACAAGGTGTCAAAGACTAACGATTTTGCCATCCTTGTTCCTGGTTATGCAATTGTGGATTTAGGCGCAACAAAAACATTGGTTGGAGAAATGGGGAAGGAATGAATCGAGCATTGCGATGAAGGCCTATTTGGACCTCTCCGGTCAAAAGCGATCCTTTAAATTCGGCGGTGGAGGAATGCTTGAATCCAACTATGAAATCTCCTTTAGGTGGTGTGTGAGTTGGAAGATTTATTGAATGATGTCCGGTGCAATGGTTTCCTAGCCTGAACAAGTCAAATATAGACAATCATTATTAATCGGGAGAGTTGGTAATGGTTTCGGTTTTGGTTGGTTTAAAGAATTGCAAGTTATTTTGAGATCGAAGATGAATAAGATATTAATTTCATCATGGAAGAAGAGGTCTTGATTACAAAAAGTCCATTGGAAATTGAACTATTTAGTGAAATACTTCCGTCTGACATTGTAGAGCAGATCCTCATCCAATCAAAAGCAAAAAAATTGAAAAGATTTTGCAGTGCCTTCAACAAGACCGAAATTTTTTTGAGATCGAAGACAACCTGTCTAGAACTGCTGAAACACTTTTCAGATTGTGAGGTTGCTACCTTCAGCCTGCCTCATTGGTATTTTGAAAAAGAAAAAGGCCGAAAAATATGTGAAAGAACAAAAGATTCTATTTATCTGAGGAACACCACCTTGAACGAAATGGTCACCAATCGAAAAACTAGCCTACATCCTAGGATTCCAAAAACAATAAGAGAAGCAAAGTCTTGGTGGTCGTGCCTTGTGAGTCTATTCAAGGTCGATTGAGCGCGTTCAAGATTACTTCATCGGCCTGGACAGAAGGGAAAAGACATGGGTCGGAGGATGGAAGGGTTCTTAATCACTGGGTCATTCCCATTCATTCTTGATGACCTGCTCATTTTCATTCATACTATCTCTGCACAGAGTCGTCACCTTCTCGTTTGCAAAGCAGTGGGCCCTGTAAAAGATGGTTTCAATGCCAAAACCCAGAACATATTTTCAAGGTCAATCCATGCGAAAATCATGATGATCAAAATCGAGATGAGGACTGCTGAACTTCCATCCTTCACCAAGAAGCGCTTCTTCCATTCTTCTTGATGGCCCTGCAAGCTGCAGTGGGCAAAAAAAGCCTGCAGCTGCAGTGTTTGTTGCGAGGGTCACTTTCATTTCGAGGCTTGCAACAACAGGGAAACAGACAAAGACCTTAGTCATTCTTTTGCCACTCTTCTACTGCAACAACTTGTTGTTCGTCCCTATTTTTGAAAAAGCTTGATGGATTTTCCTTTCTTCTTTCTTGGCTTCGGGAGGACCTATTCTTGGAGGTTGTGAAGTCGGTATCACGTTTCATGATGTACGCCATGGAATCTCGTGACGCCGGCTTTGAGATCTGTTGATGTGAATTCACCCACATTCATTTTCCAGGAAGTTTACGTCAAGCCAATCAACTTCCTCACCATGCAGCATGTCGTAGTGTCTTTCAGTTGGTGATCATCACGAGAAACAGGACGGGAGGCCATCAAGCTGGTGCCTTGTTGCAGGACACACATATGTTTTCAAAGTCTTTGTGCCAAGAGTAGTGAGGTGGAGGGCTTCTCGATCTACCTGGACCACTTGGATCTTGGTGTTCTTTCATTTCAACAAATCAATTGCTTCAGCTTCTGCAGCTGCTGCTGTTTGGTGTTCTGCTGCTGCAGTGTGCTGAAAGGCCAAAAGTTGAAAAAATTCTTTTGATTGTTTTTTTTTCAAAATCAATCAAAATTGCAGTTTAAAATCATGAAATTCGCCTTTGACAGACACGAAGATAAAAACATTTTTTCAGAACGGAATGACTGAATACCTCATGACTTTTGTCGCCGCTAAACGAAATCAACTGGTACTTCCATGAAAAATTGCTCAATGAGAATACAGCACTGCTTGGGGGTTGGTATCGGCACTAGGAGGAGGGAAGCCAACTTGGGGTTCCTGGCATCGCAACAGGGGCAAGCAGGTTGTACAACAGAGCAAGCCATGGAGCTGGAATCTGAGAACTGGGGACTGTGCTGTGCAATTGTGATGCGCGGATGACAATTGTCAGCGAGCATGAAGTGAAATACGCCAAAATATAATACGATGATGTTTTTGGCAGCCACAGCAAGCAAAGTCGGCAAAATTCGTCAACCTCTCAAGAGAACCGCACGGTTGGAGACATGACTCAGCTCATTGTCATGACGTCATCTACTCTGAGGTCGCCCTGTTCATCAGATAATCTGTGCCAGCTCTTTTTTGAGTCAGGAAACACCCCGATGAATGTATTTCGACTGCGTATAGAGCTGCTTGGACAGCATTGGGAGCAAGAGTGGTTACTGCTTGCTGGGAGGCTTTCTGACTGCAGTAGGTGAAATTCTGAAGCATTGGAGGCGAGCCACCAGAGTCAGGTATGAAACCAAAATTGAAAAATGCAACACTGAAGAAGTCACCAGGATAGAAGACAAAATATACCATGAATAGGGCGGCCTTAAATAGACGACGTCACGATAGATATCGTCCGCGCACTACAGTTGTATAACGCCAGTTCTCAGCTTCCAGCGCACTAGAGTTGTACTG